GTGAGCTCTGGAAGGTGGAGGAAGACCCAGGCCCGGCCCAGGGCCTGATGGAGGCACAGCTGTCCGGGGCTGGGGAGGAGGAGGCCCCATCTCCTCCCTCCTCCTCCTCCTCCTCCTTCTCCTCCTCCTCCTCCTCCCCCTCCCCTTTCTCCCCCTCCACTTTCTCCACTTCCTCCTCCTCCTCCCCTTCCTCCTCCTGCTCTGTCCTGTTCCTAATCCCCCTGGGGGAGGGGTCTGCTGCTGAGTCCCTGAGTCCTCCCCAGAGCCCTCAGAGTGCCTGCCCCTCCCCCACTGCCCAGGCAGCCACGGCCTGGAGCCAGCCTGACCAGGGCTCCAGCAACCTCGATGAGGAGGGGTCGAGCACCTGGGAGGAGCCGGAAGTCACCCAACCCTCTCTCCAGGACAAACTCCACGTGAAAGTGGCTGACCTGGTAGTGTTCCTGCTCCTCAAATACCGCAACAAGCAGCCGACCCACCAGGCAGAGATGCTGGAGATCATCAGCAAAGATTACCAGGACGACTTCCCAGTGATCTTGGGCCAAGCCTCCGAGTGCATGAGGCTGGTCTTTGGCGTGGACGTGAAGGAAGTGGACCCCAGCGACCACTCCTACATCCTGGTCACCGTCCTGGGTCTCACCTGTGATGGGATGCTGAGCGGTGAGCATGGCATGCCCAAGACCAGCCTCCTGGTGCTGCTACTGGGGGTGATCCTCCTGGAGGACGACTGTGCCCCTGAGGGGGAGGTGTGGGAAGCGCTGGGGGTCATGGGGGTGTATGCTGGCAAGGAGCACATCATCTATGGGGAACCCAGGGACCTCCTCACCAAAGTCTGGGTGCAGGAAGGGTACGTGGAGTACCGGCAGGTGCCCGGCAGCGACCCTGCCCGCTACGAGTTCCTGTGGGGTCCCAGGGCCCACGCCGAGACCAGCAAGTTGCAAGTGCTGGAGTATTTGCTCCGGGTCAATCACAGGCAGCCCGGTTCCTCCCTGATCCTGTCTGAAGGAGCTGTGAGCGATGAGGAAGAGGGGGCCTGAGTCCCAGTGGCAGCCAGGCCCTTTCCAGGCTTTGGTAGGGTCAGCAGCTTCTCCTGCGGGGTGCTGGGCATGAAGTGAGGCCACATTTTGGTTCTTCCCTGTGTGTGTGAAGAGAGAGCCCCGGGAGTTCTAAGTAGGGCAGGGCCAGGGAAGGTTGGGAGAAGAAAGCAGGGTGAAGAGCCAGCCTCTCTGGGGGCCTGTTCTCTGCGATGACTCCGACATCCAGAGCTTGGTTTTCTTGAGGAAGCTCTCAAATGTTGTTCCTTGGAATAGAAGGTTTAACAGCTTCGGCAGCTAAGTGTGTGCATGACATCCACCCCACAGCATTTGTACTTACCCAGTTCAAGAGTTTTAAGAGTTTTGTCATGTTCTGAAAATAAGGTGGGAGATCTTCCCTCCTTGTTTGGGTTCTGGAATGAAATCACAGGGCATTGGCATAGGAATTTGTTGGAAAGGCAAAAGAATGGAGCAGTCAAGTGATGGGGTCAGGAAATAGGGAAATAAAAGATTGTTCATTTTTGCTTCTTACTCCTTCTCGTCTGTCATTCTGCAAAAGTAACATAGATGCGTGCTCCCTCATTCGCTTGGTTCTTCAAGAAAGGAGGAGAAACGACATCTCAGCACAGAGGGAGCCCTGCTCACTGGCTCCTTGATTCCCAGACGTGGGCTGAGCTCTGCTCTCTGGAAGGCCCTGTGCGTGAGCAGTGAGGACACTAGGAGAGGCAGGACATGTCCCACCCTTAGGTGACTGTCTAGCAGCTGCACTCATGGCAGGAAAGTGGGGAGAGGTGCCCTGAGACCTGCAGAAGAAATGGAAGAAGAGTGAGGGAGTGCGGCTCCCGGGGCAAGTACTGCAGTGGAAGTGCCCCTGGCCTGGGTGGCTCAGGGTGTCAGGTCACTGTGATTCCTTCTGTGCAGCTGATCACCGTGAACCTGGGGGGTGACGGTGGCCCTACTCGGAGACAGGGTGCCTTAGAGGTGGGAGCAAAGTCTGAAATGGGTAATTGCTCTGACAAGTTCCTTCTGGATCATGGACAAACCAGAGAGAAATCTCCTGGGTCAGGAAAAGAAGGTATCCTGCACTCTCATCCCAGTGCAGTTGAACACAGTGCACAGACTAGGTGTTTTATATCCATCATCTGCAAGTATTTCTGGAGAAATACAGTGATAGTCCTTTGAAGTGGAGCCCAGAAGACTCTAGACTGACACTCTTGTCCTGACCATGCAAAGCCAGAACCCTGACTGCACTGAAAAGTCATTTTAGTTTGATTATCTGGAGTGTAATTTGGACAGCTATAAGTAAACAAGGTCTAGGTTTTGGTGGGGGGAGAAATGAGTGAAAGGAGTGGTTTGGTGGAAGAGCAGCTGGGAGGGAGGGAGGGAGGGAGCTGGTCTTTGACTCACATTCTAGGAGCTTTGTATTGTGTCCAGCTGGGACAAATCCCTCACGCCTGAATTCCACACATATTCTCATATATCTCACATATATCCTCTGATTTAGAAAATGGGTTGAGTTTTACTTATGAAGCGCCCTCTTTGGCTGATTAGCTATTCCATGTCCTATTGAGCTGCACATTCTCTAACATGACCTGGGTAACAAAAAAATACCCCAGAGGAGAGAGTGGAAGTCTCTGGGATCAAAACAACATTTGAAATCACTGCCATTCATCAAAGTTCCAATATATGCCAGGCACTGTGCAAGGTGCTTTCCATATATCACATGCATTCCTGCAGTCCTGCAAGACGGGGCTTATCAAACTCACTCACTTCAGAAAGAACCTGAGGCTCCTAGGACTTGGTCATTTTCCCAGGATCACATGGCTAGTGAGTGACAGGGCAGAGACTAGAACCCGGGTCTGAATTCATGTAGAGTCCACGCTGTTCCCACCCACTGCGGCCTGTGGCCAACCTTCTGAGTCCTACATCATTCCTGAGGACAGCACGGTGTCTTCCAGGTGACAAAAAGAAGGATGCTGTGGCTAAGGTACTAAAACCTGTTGCTAAGGAAGGAAGGTGACAATGAGAATCAAACAGGTTTTGGGTACTGTCTGTGGGCTTTATTAACCTAGAGTTCTTCTGCCTGAGCCTCAGAGTTCTTTGAGAACTGACTGCCCAGGCGCTGGCATTTTTTCCAGACCTAGCACTTTCCCGAATTACAGCAGCCTTTCCCTGGTGTTCCCCTGTGTGCTCTTCTGTCTAACTCTTGAACCTGGCCTGCTAACGAGCTCGTCACTGGTCCCCATGGAACAGCTAGGAATCACCTTCTCTCCCCCAACATAGAACCCTACTCTCTGTAGTAATCCTCTCATCATTAAATGAAGAAAGTGAATCCTCCCTGCTGAGATTACAGAATCGTTTGAAAATTATCAGATGTCATCCTGTATTTGAAAGTATCTGTCACACAGGAGATGCTTGAAAAGTTCAAAGAACTCCAAGGCAAACTGACCTCAAAAACTCCTCCCCTGGGATGCCTGGGTGGCTCAGTGGGTTAAGCGTCTGCCTTTGGCTCAGGTCATGATCCCAGGGTCCTGGGCTCCAGTCCCACATCAGGCTCCCCCTGCTCTGCGGAGAGCCTGCTTCTCCCTCTGCCCGCTGCTCCCCCTGCTTGTGCAATCTCTTTCTCTCTCTCTCACTGACAATTAAATAAATAAAATCTTAAAAAAAGAAACTCCTCCCAGCAATAAAGTCAGTCGTCATAACAAATTATAATAGTTGCATTTGGTTAAGCCCCTACTGTGTAACAATGCATGGGAGAAACTTTAGTGTTCATCCATAGTGCGTCTTGCTTTCCTTCCAGGATACAGGGGACACCACCTTGCCAGTCCCCTTGTAGTTAGGGAGGGTTGTGTGATGACCCTTTGCCATGGAGATGTGAGCAGAAGCATTGTTTCTCACATCCAGGCATTTGCGAGCCAGTATGTCTGTTCCATGCTGTCTCCCTTGATTCACCAGCAAACATGGTGACCCCGTGTTGAGATAGGGGAGCCACAAGATGAAAGCAACCTGGACCCAGGGTCTAGGAAAAGCAGGGGGCCCCTGCCAAACTGTATCAGAATTTGTGTGCACAAAAATGCACTTCTGTTGTGTTAGCCCTTCAAATGTCAAAGTTTGTTGCATCAGTTAGCAGTTACTTTCATGCAGCCGCTTTTTTTGTTGTTAGGCTTATCTAGAAATTTTACTTAAGAAGGTAGTAGTACACATCTTCCTATTGCAAAAAACTTCTACAAATACAGATGAGTCACAATATCCCCTTTTCAAAGTTCCTCCACAATTCAGCCTCCTCCTCAGAAGTCAGCATGGCTAACAATCTAGTGTGTGTTTTTATTTTTTTAATTTAAAACATTTTTTTTCTTTGAGAGAGAGAAAGAGTGTGTGAGTGGAAGGAGGGGCAAAGGGAGAGAGAGACACTCTCAAGCAGGCTCCATGCTCAGCACAGAGCCCGACTCGGAGCTCGGTCTCAGGACCCTGAGATCATGACTTGAACCAAAATCAAGAGTCGGACGCTTAACCAGCTGAGCCACCCAGGCACCCCTAGTGTGTGTTATTCTAAAGGTGACTATGGCTTTTTCATAGATATGCTCTACGAATATATTGTTTTTATTCAACCTAACCCGTAATACTGTGCATATTGATCTGCCACTAGCTTTTGTCACTTAATAAAATGGATGCAGGATCTTCCCATGACAGCACATATAGATCTACCTCACTTTTGAAACTATTCCCTGGAATGTTAAAGTTTGTATATACCATAATTAATCACATAAACAGTTTTTTCCGGGTAGAAACAAGTTGTTTTCCCTTTATCGTATGATTAATAAAATGAAAACAACACCTTTAATATGAATCCTTGGGTAGATATGAATGTTTTCTAATAAGATATACATACTAACATAGACATTGGGTTAGAGTGGAGAGGGTGTGAATTGTTTTAACATTTCATAAATGCGTCTGAAATTTTATTCCACAAGTGCTATACCAGTTTGCATTCTCATAAAAATTGGAAATGATTTAAGATTCTGCAATATCAACAAGACATTTCCCCCTCTACTTTGAGAAAGACAGATTGGCCAGAATGACCAGCAGCCAGGGGAGGAGACCAGCCAGGACACCCTCAGCTAGTGAGGGGCACTGAGAGCATCCTGGGGAAAGTGATGGCCAGAGTCCATGAGAGAAAATGAGTACAAAACCAAGTCCAGAGAGCCCCAGGCAGGCTGGCAGTCAGGGCTCTGAATCTAGAGTTCAGCTTAGGGGGAAAGGGGCCAAAAGGAGAGAAGGTGGAGAGGTGGAGGGATTCAGGAGAAAGAACGTGGGTGGGCTGGGGAAGTCTCTGAATCATTATCACCAGCTGGAAGTTGCGGGGTGGTCTGACAGGGCAGGTCTGTTGGATGAATGGATCAGCAGCATGCCAGACACCCCACTACTGTAGAGTCCCCCTACCTCTGTCAGGAAGAGTACACTTGGCTCCCTGACCCTGAATTCAGGTGAGCGACATCTCTTGACTACTCTAGCGGTCCAGGGCATCCTTGCCAGTGTCCCAGGGCTGGGAGCTGTCATGATGCCTGCTGGAGGCAGGGGGCTTTCCCCCTGGGTGCAGTGGAACCCCACATAGAGGGTGAGGCTATGTGAGTGAGGGGTTGGTGACTGAGGAAGGACAGCTGAGATAGGCCAGGAATACCGAGGAGCAGTGGAAGGGAGCGTGTGGCTAGCTGCTGGGAGGGTGAAATTGGAAGGAGAAAGCCCTGGGGCCAATCACCTCAGACTCTGCAGATAAAGGGCTGGGCATGGACACGCTTGAAAGCTGTCCAAATGGTGTCCACGGCTCAGACTGCCTTCCAGGGCTCCTGAGGTCATGGCATAGCAGGGGCGAGTGTCCTGTCCTGTGGCTATGATGGCTGGCCTGTGTTGCCACCAGTTTGCAGGGTGGGTGGAAAACCTGTGGAGATGGCTTTTTCTTATTCAACTGATGAGAAAGTGTGGGCTCCAGTGCAGGACAAGGAGCATAAATGGGCTGGGGAAATCTCCTGATAGACAGACCATGTTTCCTAGGAAGGAAGCACCATGGACCATCCTGTTGAGAGCATCCCCACCTCCAAGATGGTGTTTGGACCTGGGGAGGAGATGTCCATGGTGACACCCTCAATAATAGTTTCCCATAGGAATTCTGAAGTTACATGAGCAGTTGGAGAACTGTGGGTTTCATCCATGGAGGTGGAAGGCCCAGGCAGGGGGCAGGCTCCACATTTTGAATCAGGGAATGGCACCCTCCAGCAACTTGATTCATCCAGCAAACATTTATTGAACATATGCTGAGAAAGAATATCAAGTAAACAAAACAAAATAACATGACAAAGCACTTAATTCAGCCTGACTGGGAGGATGGTGAGAGATGTGATGTAAAAGAGTTTTTGGAAGTGAGGAACTTTGAGATAGCAGGTAGAGTCTATGATGACCCTGAATTCTGAGATTTCTCAATTGGCA